TGCAGATCACAGCTCTCTTCCCATTAAGGTCTGCTTTTTCAATTATACTTTCATTACTAATTGATTTCTGCACTGGCTGCTCTTCCAGAGGATCTGGATTTGATTCCCAGTACCCACATGGCAGCTCACAACCACCTATAACTCCAGCTCCAAGTGAAGTAATGCCATCTTCTGGCCTTGCACACAGCACAGGGACATAACAACCATACAAGTGAACTGAAATAATAATAAAAAAAGTGTAAGAGAAGTATTTCTAAGCAACAATGGAACACTTTAAGTAGCAGAATTACAAAGTCAGAAACAATTGTGTGTAACTAACTGCTGCTCGGGTGTCCTGCCTATCTAGGACACAGGTTGAGAAGAGCAACTAGACCCATTATTCCTGAGGCAGTGGAATTCAAGTTCAAGGACAGCTCAGACAACATAGTGAGACTCTTCCTCAATTAAAAATGTCTTAAGAGCAGTAGTAAACTTGCCTTACAAGCAAAATGACTTGATGTCAACCCTCAGAAGCCATATAACAATGCTGGGCACAGTAGTACACATCTGTAATCCCAGTACTCAGGAGGATCCTTGGGGCTCACTTGCCAGCTTGTCCAGTCTAACTGGAAGGCTTCAGAGCTATGAAAGACTGTCTCAAAGAAAGAAGATGGTGTTCCCAAAATTGGTACTTGGCCTCTGACCTCCACATGTACATCTGTGCAATCGAACAACACACACACACACACACACACACACACACACACACACAAATATTTTAAAGGAGCTGGGGGTATATGAGGGTGGATTAAGGAAGTCCATGAATGCCCAAATAAAAGAATAAAAAATATTATTTGGGGAACACTCACACAATGAAGGTAAAGAGTCACCACGATCTTCTGTCCCTGGAGGTGCAGGATGCTGTGATGCAGGATGCTGGGATCAGGTCTCAGGCCACCACCCAAGAAAGAGCAAGAACAACCCCTCCCCTTCCATATAAGGGATCATATCCACACACCAAAGCCATGCCCTAAGACCCCGAAATTATTGGTGGAAACAAATTCCCACTACACTTCCCCTTTTTGTCTCAATAAGAAGGTTCTAAACCTGACACAAAAACTATATACAATAAGAACAAATATCAAGTATTGTCCAAGAAAAAAAAAGTTAAAACATATACAAATTTAGGCCTACAACCAAAAAGAGCAACATCAAGCAAGAAACACATACTAAATGTCCAGGCTATAGGTAATTGGCAAAGATATAGAGATTAATCCAACAGCTGACCTATCCTGAGGAGTTTAAATCTTGTACCTAAATGTCTTAGCTAATACATGAGAGAATGTTAGCTGAGACTATCTAGTCTTTAATCCCATAATCCCATCAAAGACCTGAGAAATAAAATAATATTACCTGGGTAAGCAGGAAGTAAAAGTTGGCAACTTCCTAAAGGTGCAAGAAATGACAGAAATACTTGGCTAACTGGACAGTCACCCAAGGTCTCACAGTAACATCAAGGCAATCAACTTTGTCTAAGGCCTAGAAAAATCTGACAGACCATTTTCAGAAGCAGGAAAAATTCAAAAGACTGTCCTACTTTGTCTTGCCAAGGTTTAGCAGTCACTTATCTTTGTAACCTGCTTGTCCAGTTTGGACAGTTTGCTTACTACAGGCAGTTGAGGCAAGGACTGTCCTTTACCCAACAGGCCAGTTTTGCCAAGACGACGACAAATTCCAAATGGAATATCTCCAGTGCCCAACATTCTCTCAGAAATAGTTTGGTGCTGCCAGGAGCATTTGTGTCTCATGTCAAGAGAGTTCTAAACTATGAAAATATTTAAATGCCATATTCTATATGTCTTTGAAGTGTTCAAAGATCAACTATGCTGAGTACATCTCTGTGCATCTAGAGAACCTACTAACATAACTAGGTATGAAAAACATGAGTGACTATAACCTGTAACTCTCAATAGCATATATCACTTATTGGCTAAAGCTTCACATGTAAAAACAAACACTCTACCTTGAAATTGTAACTATATATATGTATATATATTGATCAGAGGTAGAACTATATAGTGCAATATGACAAAAATATCCTTAAATTGTATCAATATACAAAATATCTTGAGCATATGTAGAAACATGCAGATACAATGTGGCTAAATAATTTTATATTAGTGTGCAAAAATATTGTAAACAGAAAGAGGAACCTACACAATATGACAAATATAATTCCCCAAATAAATATCTGTTGTTATTTTATTCAGGCATTTATAAACTTCCTTAATCCACCCTCATTTGGCACCCAACAAGTATACCTGGACAGGCATTTGCCTAGCATATCTAAGGCCCCAAGTTTAATCCCCAATAATACAAAAATTAGGTAGCTAAGGGAAAGAATTGAGGTAAGGACCAGAAGTGTCTCTGAACTGCCATACCTTCATGCACACCATCTAGATAAAGCTTTAGACAAAAGAGAAGGGGCAGCAAAGGAGGCACCCACTAAGTTTTTACAGAACCCTGACACCTTTTAATTGTGCAATTCTGAAACACAGCAGAGGTCAAGAAAGCATGTTGCTCCAAGTCTAAATGACGTGCAGTGGCTTCCCTGCCTGTTCTCTCATTTGCTGGTAACAAAATGGTCTATAGCCGTGCTCCCCAGACTGCTAACTAAACTTTTGCAGGCACCAGAAACACAGTTTCAGAACAGAGAAGATAAAGACCTTCACACTTCAACTTCTGGACTCAGAGAAACTACTGCCCAAGTCAGATGGGGACAAGAGTAAACCAGTGAGGTGGCTGCCAACATGAACCTGCATTTTCCAAACTGAATCACAACAGAAAGTGAGGCTTTTTTTTCTTCTTTACATATTTCAACATAGTCTAATGGAAGAAGAGGAACAGGGCCAAACAGCCTCACTGCTCCCTGGCACTAGTGCCAAAAAATAGAAACAGATTTTTAGTTAGTAGAGCAAGGCAAAGTTGAAAGAGCCACAGGCTCAGGAACTATATCAGGAGCCCTCCTCCCACTGGGCTAGATGGCTCACAATCACCTGTACAGGAGTTCTAATCCAGGCTCAGTTCTACCACTGTCCTGTAACTAAGAAAACTTTTGGGGAGCTACTCTTCCCTGGCTTCCTCACCGAGTAAGGGGCAAACAGAATGAAACCAGCACTTCTTATACTCTGTGAGTGGACATGTGGTCTTGTTAAACAAGGACTGTGATGCATGTGGCCTGAGGTTCTGCACTCTAGCATGCCTGGAGCTGGCAGGAACCGCTAGTCCACAACCTGGGCTTCCAGAAGCCACAAGTTATACGCATCTTCAAGTGCTGTGCTTCATGGATACACAGGGGATTATCACATCTCTAATTAGCTTCACATAAGGCTAACTGACCTAATTTACCAGCAATTAAACACTCTCCAGATGCTGTGCACAAAGGCCAAGTGAATACAAAAGAAAACCAGACCTTTGCCTATCTAAAAGGGATACAGTGTTTCCTAAAGCACCTCACAGAACAAGGGCTGATTCACAAATCTTATGGTCCTAAAAGTGAGAGCTCACCAAGGTCCACAGAGCTGTGACTAGTCACCAGCTAGAAGCAGTGGCCATGAATTCATGTCTCGTGGGATAACAAACATATTATGTTCATTCCACTCCCGTTAGTCCTGGCCTTGCTCATGTTAATGTGTAAAGGATAAGGAACACATTTTGTAAATGAGGGAAAAGAGGTTCTGAGAGGGCAAGCCATTTCTCCAGGACACAGGGAGTGAGTCACAATTCTACTCCCCAGGCTCTCCTGTAAGCTACCAGGCCTTATAAAGGGTTAAGCTCCAGGGTAAAGTTCACAGGACAGGCACCCCTGAACACAGTGCCTGTGGCTAGTCAGAATCAGATCTTCAAGCTGCACCAACAATCTTACTAACTTCCTGCTAAGTCCTGAGCCTGTGTGAGAAATGAGGTGTACAGGTGAGACCATGAATCCTAAAACCAACAAATTAAAGGCATGCAGGGAGCAAGTGGAGACTGGAAATTCAGTATAACAGGGTATTCCGCTGGGGAAGCTGCCAATAAAAGCTGGTATCGATCATTCCTGTACTCGGGACATATGTGGAAAGACCACTGAGTGAGCTTAAACTAGTGGCACTTCACCTGATGCCACAGGAATGGGGTGGAGCCAGATGCATAATCCCCAGAAAGCTGGAAGCAGCTTAAATGATAAGACCCTCAAAGCTCCCTCCTCTTCCTTTTTGGTTAAGTCCTTGTATGCTTTCTTCTCATTTCAGTGTTTTGTTTACAGTAACACAAGGCAGTGATTTGTGTTTGAATGTCCCCCACAGATTCAGGGTTTGTATGCTTGTTCCCTGGCTGATGGTACTGTTGGGGAAGTTGCAAAACTCTTAGAAGTAACAGCCAGCCAAGTAGCCTAAGTGTACCACTAGGAGCAGGCTTTTGGAGGTTACCAGGACCCTGGTCTTAGCCTCCCTCTGAAATCTTCAATCAAAATCAATCCTTCCTTGTGCAAGTTGTCCCATCAGGTGCTCTGCCACAGAGATGCACAAGCAACTCCCATACACAGGTCTTGCCTCAGCTAACACTTGGAGGTGACAGATAACTGGATGTAAAGATGGCTCCAGTGCCCTTAGGACCATAAAATAAACTGGGTTTAACCAAAATCTACCACACAAAGATGAGACTGACATAGTTCATTCTTTTAATCTAGTTTATTAACCCAACTTGGAACTTAACTACTAAAAGCAAGAGATCTAGTTCTGTGTACCTCTAGCAGATGGGGGGGAAGGGGTGACTAATTTTCCCAAAGTTAAAATTCCAATTTAACACTATAAACTCCCAAACAGCAAAACAAAGCACTTGATATGATCTAATATTACTAGGCAACATTAAGAAAGGCCATTGTTCACCAGAAAATACATGAACACACATGTTCTTGCTACCAAGTGTCAGCAACCACCATGGCCCCACCACACAGCCCAGGGTCTCCAGGTGGCACCACTTACAGAAAGAGAGAGACGACGTGCGTGGAGGCCGCGCCCAAGGATGGTATGGCTGTCAGCTCATTGTTATTGAGGTACCTGTAAGAAAAAGAAGTAATTCGTCACTTGGAGCACTTAAATTAGTTGGAAATCACATACAAGAAAAATAACAAATCAGTTAACCACAATAAGGATACAATGTGAGATAAAAGAATTTAGAATCAGTTTTAAAGGAAGACAAGCCACATTGAAAAAAAAAAGCACACACACAAAACAAAAAACAAAAACCTAACCACTTATCATACCCCTGATAAAAAAAATTAAACATAAACAGGAACTATGTTCTGAATTCCCATCAAACTCAAAAATCAGACTAACAGGAACAGTGAAAATAGGCCGTGGTACAGGTTCTAGCCAAATGTGTTCCCATGACCATCAACAAAAATGATCTTGGTGAACTAAAGTAGTCACAAAGGATTTGGGGGATAGGAAGAACAGATCCCTCCTAGTTACTCTGGTTCTCTGTCCCAAGCAAGGGGCAACATGAGAATAAGAGCGGGAGCCTACTCACTCACAGGTATGGCATTCCAGGACAGTCAATATGCCTCCTGACGTAATAAGGGGGCTGGACTCACCCTCATCTATTTGAGGTTCCAGCTTAGTTGGTTTCTGATAAAGCCTTTCGGTGATGTTTGAAGAAAACAAACAAAAACAAATGTACCACGCTTCTGCAAACAGACATTTTGAAACTCCTCTACAGACAGGATTCACTCTCCAGGATCCTCTCCCATTACAATATTCTAAAACCAGATTTACACAGTTACTATCTCTTAACAGAAGGGAAAGCCCACAAACCAAAGTACAGCCTGCCTGTCTACCCACAAAGGCTGTGTAATCTGCCCTCTTTACATGGGCGTGCATTTCTAAATCTGGGAAGAGAATCCAAAGTCACTTCCAATGTGAGCCCAAAATGCCATAAGAAACCCAAGGCACAAAGTCAGGCTTTGGAGGGTGGGGGGTTGGCTAGAAAGAAGTAGTATTTAACAAGAGGAATTGAAGGGAAAAAAATGGGTTATCTTGTTCCCAATTTCTTAAGGGAGGTCTGTCTTGCAAAAAGCATCTTACTCCATTTGAGGACAAGAACACAGAAATGACAGCTGTATTCAAACAAGTACACGACTTGAATACTTGTTTGAATAATATGGCTGTCTGCCATCTTTTCAGAAATGAATAGAAGGGGTGGGGGCTTGAATTATCTCATTTGCTTTCTTCAGTGCCAAAGTAGTTAGGGACGAAGTTGGCAATTACTGACTGGGACACAGAGTGCCTTTTTCACTAGCTCCATGACTGAAGCATCTGGCAGGGAGAAGGCAGGTCTGTACCATGGGGCAAAGCCTTTCTCCACTTAAAGAGCCCTTGTTTGTGGAAATAGACAATTAATTACTTTAACAGTCTCTTATCTGACTGCCCCTAAAATCACATAGTTTCTGCTTCACTGTTATCTCTTCCTGCCCTGCCATTTCCCATCACAGTGTGGAAGTACTGAAAACTCTCATCAGTCCTAATCTCAACCAATAAATCTTCGCAGCACCCACCAGTGTGCTGATTACTAGAAAGGACCGGCACGTCTTATCAGAGCAAGGCAAACTGTTGAGTGTGTGTTGCCAACACGTTATCCTGTCTAAGAACTCGTTTCTTAAGGAACACTGGAAATCAGAGGGCAGTGGTGGCAGTAAAAATAACAGCAGTGCTCTGCTAGAGACTTAATGAGGTGGCTACCATTCTAGGAGCTTTTCCATGCATTATGTCTCATCTTTAGATACCTAGATACAGGTCCCAGAAACATCCCAGTATACCAATGAAGCAGTCAAAACACTGAAATGTACAGTAACTGGAGCAAGGTCACCACAAGTATGTGACAATGGCTCAGGGAGTCAAGCCTTAAGATCTAGGTTCCTAACAACTACCTGTTGCTTCTTTGTAATTACAGGCCAAATTCCATGTGCGTTGTCCTAGCAGCAACTTTGAGTCAGACACCAACAACTGTTATCCCCTACATTCCAGTAAGTTTAAGTCCATTTAAATACTTAGCCTGGGGTCATATGACCCCAGACTAGCACTTCACATGTATGACACAGCCAGAAAATGAACAAAGATGGTCAAATCAGAAAAGAGCAAGCTCACAGGCTAGGAAGCATGGGACAGGCTTGAACATTCATAACCCCTCAGGTAACAACAAGATTGTTTCCTGCCTGCTTATCATAACTTGATTTTGAAGTTGAAACAAAGAATATGAGATTCAATGCACGTGAACTTCAGCTGAGGAACCTGGTCTCAGGCCAGCCCTGATATGCATATGACACACCACTCCACTTGACGCATACCACAGAACTAAATGAGTGAGGCAGAGGGGCAGGCCAGCACTTCACATCTCCATGAGCCTGCTAGAAGTGGATTATGCAGGGACAGCAGACTGGGGCTAAAGATTAACTGGGGAATTGTATGTCTTGATGAGCAGTCCCGGAGCAACAGGCTCAGTCAGAAATAGCAAGCTCTAATTTCAACAGGGCTGCCTGATTTATGGAGAAGACAGTTGGAACCTAAAGGAGAGGAACTCACTGCACAACTAGCCAACTTCTAGATCGTTTCTACTTTTAAAAGGAAAAAAAAAAAAAAATGCTAGCTCAATGTAAGCTGCTAGCTCCATCACTAGTAGCTCCACAGTTGTTTGCCCTGCTGAAAAGAGAATGCAATCCTCAGAAGGCCAAATCGCCAAACTCACTCTGAGACGTGAAGAGCTGTTTGCCAGACTGAAATAGAGACTGGTCAAAAATAGCAGTGCTGGAGCACTGAAGAAGAGAGGCGCTCTGGATGTTTAGCTGTCTCCATGAATACAGGCATTTTAGTGGGTAAGGATGGTGTGTGATGAAATACTTTCACTATCTAGGGTTCCACTCTTCCATTCCACGTGCCCTGTACTCTAACAGCTCCTGCCGACTCTACCCACCCACCCCCACCCCCAAACCTTTACTTCTACTCAACGCACTATAAATCTTCCTGAAATGTCTAGCTTTTATAAACCTTTTCCTGGTGATTCGGGATCAGAGCAGGAATCATGACCCAACCCTGAGCAGGAGGAGGTGTAAGTAGGGTCAATGAGATACACAGTCTGCCTGACCCCAGGATAGAACCTGGAGGTTGGATGCTTCCTGCTGACCCTTAAGGTCATCTGGGACATTCTGATCCTGCAGCTTTCTCTCAAAGTGTCCACTTATAAAGTAGCTTGAAAAGGAAGTATTACATGCTGCAAGATGTACAATGTCATAAAGGGCAGTTCGCAGTATAGCATCATCATTTATTAACCTAATCAAATTTGGTTTTAATAAATAATATAAAAACCACCAAAGGAGCAATTGGGGATGGGGGGGGGGGATAAGTACCATATTTATTTACTGAATGACTGAAGTGGACACACAGTAAAAATTTCAAATACTCCAATGAAGAATACAAGGAGTATTCAGTGAAAGATAAAGTTTCCTTACACTTCAGGCCCCAGCTCTGCCCAAGAGGAAGCTTCTGGGACAATTATAAGAGACTTCCAGGTTTGTTTCACAGAGACACATACTATACACACTGCTTTTCCCCTTAGGGATATATCATGAAGACCTTCTTTTGGCCATCAGCAGAGTTTATTTACTAATTTATTTAGCACTTGGCTCTTTGTAGATAAAGTGGCTGCTCTGGGCTGTTTCCTATCTCCTATCAGGAAGGAGCTGCAGCTCACAGGACTCAGCTTGAGAGTTTGATTGGTTGTTTCTTACAATGAACAATCCATTAGCAGTAGTTCTTTAAAGCAAAAATGGGTTTTAAATCAGGGCTTCAGTTACTGGAGAATAACACACAAGATTTTCCTTGGCAAGACTTTATGACATATGCAGCTGGTCAGATAAAATTGTTTTATATAGTAATACAGGGTATCTTCCATTAGAAATCATGAAGGTTTGATCCAGGACTCCCTGCAAATACCAGAATCTACTCAAGAACCTTATAGAAATGCAGCATCAGTTTGTAACCTGAATGTGTCCTGGAAACCCTCAATCATCTCAGGATTACTTAGCAGACCTAAGACAATGTAAACACTAGGTAAACCATTATATTACACTGTACAGGATATAAGACAAGAAAATAAGTACACCTGTATGTGTTTCAAACAGATGCATTTTCAGTGATCAATAAGAGGTTGGCTGAATCCACAGATGAAAAATCCATGGATATGGAGAAGCAGTCACTTAGTTAATAATCACACATGACAAGAAGGGTGAATGAGTAATACGTTCCCAGCTCTGCCCCAAAGCCTGAATAACATACCAACCCCTCAGGAGTACACTCAACTACAAATCCCCCTCTAATGATGAATCAAAGGCAGTTACCAAGTAGTTGATCAGGGAGTTTGGGAGTTTTTTTTTAATCACAGAGGACTTGGTTTTTCTACTCCTTACCAATCAAGTGACCTCCAGCATGCCATTTAATCTTGCTGTACCTTAGTTTCCTCCTTTAAGAAATGTAAATAATAAAAGTACCAGAGTCACATGGGTTTGGGCAGGATCCAGAAGAAATAAATCTAAAAGTTGGAAATACTAAGAGCAAAAAAGCAGTCCAACAAAACACCGCACAATGTCTCTCGGTCTTGCTTTACATAAACAACCATCATAACCCTCTACGCCTGTGCTTGTACATGCACACCAGCAGAGCGAAGGAGGGAGAAGCAGTCTGGGACAGAACAGAGTGGAGCCCTAAATACCTGGAGGCAGGCCTTCCTTGCCCTCTCCAGGAAGCATTTAGGGCACAGCAGCATAGTAGCAAGCACTCCCAAGCCACCCGAGGTAATGTGATCCAAGTGCCTTTTCACAGAGGACTGTATAAATAGCCCTCTTACTAGAGGACTCGGTGTCCAGCACTCTGGTGGAGGCACTCCCGGTGGGCTTTCCTCAGGGTTGTAAGCAGTGAAGACTGACTCGAAAGCAGCTGCACAAGACCATGTTCTCCAGGGGCCTCCAAAGGACTTGCTTTCTCTCTCTCTACCAACCCACAATGTTATGTGGTTCTAGAGCCTCCCAAATTAAACCACTGCTAAGCCACCACAACTACTGTGCTCGCCTTTGGCTCCAAAGACCACAAGGTCTGGGAGAACTAACTTAAGCAAACTTAATTTGGAAGCACTGGTGTTTTGACTGTGGGTTGTGTTCTCTTGTTTTTTCTTTTTATCTTCCATATTCTTACCTAGTTCCTACCACTCACTGCTGGTAACCTCTTTGAGTCACCAGAATTTTATTACAGTTTTCTTAAGAAAAGCCCTGGGCCTCCACCAGTAGGAAGTTAGTGTTGCTGAAGAAGTAGGAGAGAGTCACAGTGGCCAGAAGTCCAATCTGTCAGCCTCAAGGATGTGTTACTAAATGGCACACTCAGTATGGTGGCTGCAGAGTTCCAGAAGAAGAAGGGAATCGCACATCTGTATCAGTCAGGGACTACAGCAGAACTGACCATTAGCTATTACTTCAGTGTCACAGAAAGGGGAAGGGAAACTGAAGAGCCACTTCTGCAGAACAGAAGCAGAGCCAGAAACTCAAACCCAACTCTTCTGCTACCAAAACAATCATTTCCCCACCAGGAGGCCTTGTAGCCACAGAGCACTGGGGTGAGCAGTGGTGCACTCTACCCCTTTCTAGCTGTGGGTATAAACTCTTAAGAAACCTGGAGTTGATGGCAATGAGGAGGTCAAGGGAGTGAGACAAATGGAGGAAAGCTTCTATGAGCAAGGGACAGAGATGGAGGGAGATAAACACAGGAAGTACTCTTCAGAGCACTAACCACATGTGTGAATGGCAGGACACAGAACATATTAACAGACTTTAAAAGCATATGTCAAAATGAACGCAAAACACAATCCACAGTGAACAAATTAAAAAGGTCAAGACAAGATGAATAAAAGCAGTGCGGTCAAGACATTCTTGGTTCTGAGGCAAAAGGAAAAGTACCAGAAACATTGATTCTGTCTTTTTTATAATTTTGTTTATTGTGAACTTTCTAAAACATTCATCTGGACTTTTAAAATATGACATCAAAATATCCATTATTTTGGCTGGTAAGTTTTGGTAGCCTTGCGACATCAGTGCCTAAGGACAGGCCCTCACTTGTCTCCCCCTAATCACAGACCTATTTTTGTCTCTCATTCGACCCAGAACATCATCTACCACAAAGTAGACACTCAAATAAGTATAAACAAAAGCCTGTGATATCATAGGAAATAACATCATTTTAATCTCTCCCAATAATAATCTCTAAAACTGACACAGAATTTGAACATATAATAACCTCAAGAGTCAACAACATACTGGGCCAAAGCAAACTACTGGGTTATAAAGTCAGCTGGCTTCTAATAGAGTAAGCTTATCAATCTGGATAGCTAGGACTGGTTGAACTGTGTCCTCTTCTTCAAATTAGTGTGTTGAAGTACAAACCCCAAGGACATCAGAGTATAGATAAATTTAAAGATAAGGTCTTTAAAGACAGTGTTACAGAGACTGAGGCTACACTCAGTGGTAGAGTGTTAGGCTAGCATGGTCAAAGCTCTGTGTTCAATCTCCAACATAAGGGTAGGAGAATATCATTGAGGTTAAGTGATGCCATACGCATGGATCCTAAGTGACATACATGACTGGTGTCTTTATAATAGGAAATCAGGATATGCCACAAGAAACCAAGGTCCATGTGCACAGAAGAAAGATCATGTGAAGACATAGCAAGAGGCAACCATCCGCAAATAAGGAGAAAGAGCTCAGGAGAAGCCGGTCCTACAGCTTCCAGCTCCCTGAACCATGAGGAGTCAGTCTCGGCTGTTGAAGTCAGCAGCCTGTGGGATTTGTTACTGAGGTCTGGACCCTCTTTACATTTTCATCCTCCCACCCCTAGTTGACTGAACTCATGGGCAAATGAAGGACCAACACAAGGCATTCCCAAACTCCTTCCAACTCTGACATTTAACCTGGAAGTTTATGCTTTGGAAAAAGACATAAAAATCATAAAGTTTGGACATGAGGATAGGAAATGCAGCTATTCTGCAAACTATCAGTGAATGAAGCTAAAATTTTATTAGGTAAGTTGCTATAATGGAACAGAAGAATAACCACAATTGCTTGTAGTAAAAATGTATGAAGAACTTAATAATCTGATAAAATGTCTATAACAGTATAACTTGATGATGGCGTTATAGTAGTTTTATATACATATTCATGTAGAGCATAGACTTTATGGATGGAATGGAAATAGGGGCAAGGGGAGCAGGGAGGGACATGATGGGATGGGACTGGAATGCAAGGATAGATGGTAGCGGGGAGATGGGGTTGAGGGAGAGAGAGGGAGAGAGAGCAAGAATTAAGGGACATTTGAGGAGGAGTATAGGAACTAGTACAGTAGAAACACCCTAAAATATATGAAGTGACCCTAGTAAAGGCTCCAACCATGACTTCCAGTATGCCTACTGTACTACAGCATGCCCTTCATAGAAAATGGGCTGTAGCAAAGGGAAAGAAATTGAATATGACACCCCTTTATCTATGAGGGCTACACTCCTTGATCCCCATGGATACCCGAACCCTGCATATCGTCTTTTTCCATATGTAAGTCAGTTGTAGTAAGAGAATGGCAATAATTAAAAGAACACTTGTAGAATAATTCATGTGAATGCAATCTCTTACACAAAATCTTATTGTATTTTCTTTTCCCTTAAAGGAACTACTTCAGAGCTTCTTTTTTGCACATTCCATTATCAATATCTCCAATTCTGTGCTTTGGGACCATTACTAGGGAAAACTGGCATGACTTAACATAAGCACCACAATGCTACAGCTGATAATCTGATAACTGGGCAAGTGGCATGGACAGTGTACACAGTCTGGACAAATGGACGATTTGTGACCTGAACAAAAAATGCAAAACTCCACCTCTTACTCACAACTAAGTGCAACTTAAGCTCATGACCTGTTTATTTCTAGAATGTTATACTTTGTATTTTTGGTTGACTGTGGGTAATCTATGGATGAAAGGGATCATCCTACTATCATTTGTCAGTAAAGACCCATATGTAAAAGTCCCTTGCTATAAGCTGAGACCACCCACCCAGTAGAGTGAAAACAGCACAATACGAAAAGATTTCCCCAAATCTTTCTGCCCTCCACCCCTAGAGGCTTAGGGGAACACTCACACTTCCTGCAGATTCGTCAAGTCCTCAAAACCATCAGAGTCAATTTCCGAGAGTTTGTTATAGCTCAGGTTTCTGGTAAAAGAGAAAGTGAAAAATAATAAATTAATAGTTGACATTGCATCAAAGACTAAGAAACCTTTCCTCAGTCACCAAGTCCCCCAGAAGAAATCCATTCCCTCTGCCTAGTGACCTCCCATCGTGCTCACTGTTTAGTAACACACACTGAGCTTTGTAAATACACCTCTCCTCCTCACCTGCTTCAGTGCACACAGAATGCACACAGCATGCCTGGGAACCCACACCGCCAGAGGAGACTCAAGCAGACTTCACCAGTACCAACAGGCTACCTAACACATGAAAAGTTAAGATGGACTAGTCCTAGTCCCAATGTTTTGCACTGCATCAAGTTCAGGGTCACCAACTTTTTAAAATTACATTTATTGGGACTGGAAAGATAGCTCAGCAATTAAGAGTACTTACTGCTTTTGCAGAGGACTGGAGTTCAGTATCCAATGTCTGCAAGGCTCATAACTGCCTGTAACTCCAATTCCAGAGGATCTGACACTCTCTGCTGATATCTGCAGGTTTTATACACTCATGTGGTGCACATATATATACTCAGGCACAGACACATACAAAATAAATATTTTAATCATGTAGTGGCATCTTGTAATAGCCACGCCTTCAGGTGTGGCTTCAGTATGTGGATGTGACCCCTTATAAGGAGAGGAAGGGATCATTGTTCTCTCTCTTGGGTGTGGTTGGAGCATCCTGAAGGGCAAAGGCTGTGTCTCCAAGAGCAGAAGACCCAGGTGGTTATTTACCATCATTCTGTGAGTGGTTCCCAAATAAATACCTGCTAATTCTTTATCTGGGTATTCGTGGACTTCCTTTAACCCGCCTTCATAATTATATTTATTATTTGTGCGTGGACAAGCGTGTGTTTGTGGGGGGGTCAGAGTCAACCTATAGAAGTTGGTTCTTTCCACCATGTGCACCTTTTAACTCAGGGGTTCTCGGCCCTCCTAATGCTGCCACTCTTTAATACAGTTCCTCATGGTGTGGTGACCCCCAACCATAAAGTTATTTTTGTTGCTACTTCATAACTGCAATTTTGCTAATGTTATGAATCATAATGTATATATGTATGTTTTCAGATGGTCTTAGATGACCCCTGTGAAAAAGTCATTCAAATACCCCCACGATGTTGTGACCCACTCACTGCTCTAAGCCATGCATTCTTTTTTTTTTCCTGACATACATTCTTATAGTTTTGAGAGCGGGTCTATCCCTACATTGCCCTTGCTGATCTGGAAATTGCTATGTAGACCCCCAAACACAGAGATCAGCCTGCCTCTGCAGGGTTAAAAGCGCACCATCAAGCCTGGTCTTAATCACTTTTTAAAATTAATGTTTAACTAAAGTATCAACATCAAGTACTAGTTACAGACAAAGAGATCAGACTGTCGGCACTTCACAGTCTAAGCCAGTAGTTCTCCACCAAGAGTGCGCTCTCTCTCTCTGTCTCTCTCTCTCTCTGTCTCTCTCTCTCTGTCTCTCTCTCTGTCTCTCTCTGTCTCTCTCTCTCTCTCACACACACACACACACACACACACACACACACTTGCAAGCACAGGCACGTGTGCACACACACACCATACTCACACATACGGCAATGGCTAGAGATATGCTCAGCTATCAGCACTGGTGGAAGGTGGCACTAAAATCTTGTGGTTTAAAGCTGCAGATGCTCTCAAACATCCTTCCAAGTCAAGAGGTCAGTGTCCCACAACCAGGCATCCAGCACCTCAGGGTCAGTACTAGTCAAAATGAGAACCCTTGGTCTAAACAAGAATTGAAGATTTAAGTCTGGGAGCACAGAGGAGGTTCAGGTGACATTTAGAAAATGAACACAAGATTCAGAATAGTAAGGCTATGTATGCACAGAGGATGCCTACCATTGATGAATAAAATTAGGAGTGGCAATCACAAGAAAAGGGAGTGCAGGTTCCACAGTGTAGTAGTTATCACTTCTGCTTCCAGCCCCAGTGGAACCATGATAACAGCACAAGGGAAGGGAGCCAACCGGTAGGGATGTATATTGGTGGTAACCCCAGTCAGGGAAGCCACACAGGCGCTGCATTCAGGTTACAGCCCCCATTCTGTTCAGAACTGGGCCTCTCTCCCCAGCACTGCCTAGCTGCAGACAGAGCAAGTTTGGCAATGTTGATTCAGCTAAGCTTCTTTACCCACAGGCTGAGCACAAGCCAGCCTAATCCATCAGGAACAGAAGCCACTGGTGGTGATCAAGATGAGTTTTCACTGCCATCCAGCTCCTTGCCACAAGTCCACTCAGGCCTGCGTGTGCAGGAGAGGTTAACATTTTTCATCTTGGCTATTAATTCCATTGACATTAACGCCAATTAACAATACTACTAATCATAAATGGCAACTATCCTTTAAACTTACTCCAGAGACATTTCAATCAATACTACCCTAGAGCTGATAGCCATTTCACTGTGAACTCAAAGACATTCATCTAAATAAAAGTCAAACTGCACTTGAAACTAATGGCCCATCTGTGTTCATGGCACAGTCTGAATTAAAAGCAATTTGTCCAGAGATTAAGTTACCATAAAGACTGAAGGTGGTAATTTTTAAACCACATACTGAAGTCAAGTATGAGCTTGACTGTGCTTGGGAGGTATTTATTAATGAGTATGTAGATATTAACAGCTTAGACCTGGGAAAGAAAATCCAGTTTGAAAGAATTCCCGACACCAGTAAAAGGGCTGGCAGGACTATGTTGATCAGATTATCATAAAGGGTATGGGGACACTGTCTTGGGGAATAAGACGCATCATTAAGGTAACTAGCATGGGTGAGCTGAAGAGAATTTAATAAAGGCTGTCAAAAGCCACAAAGCAAGTAGAAGGGCAAGCAGACTGGGTGGCTGATGGACCAAGACTAACATGGAAGCCTGCCTACCCACCTACGCAGGCATTTACTCCTTGGCTCCAGAGACGAGAGCCAGTGCTGACACCAGGCTAGGCTTTCCAAAGATGCTCAAAGAATTCTTATGAGAAATCTTTTCAGTTCCTTTAAAAAAACAATAAATAAATAAATAAAAGTAAGCAAGGATGAGCAAAACAAAACCTCTCTGCCAGCCACTCCTGGCCTGAGGAGCACTGGCTTCTGCTGGGACCTGGATTCCCAGTTCCCTCCTGAAGCTACAGGTTCAGAAGGCATTGGGCGGGTCAGGGTAGGCTCAGCAGACTTTCTCCAGCTGAGATTCTGAGATAAAATCATGCCTCTCTTTTCCCACCCCTCATATGTCCATTTAAAGTCACACACCCACTGCTTTGTCTTTCCTTGCAAGGAAAGATAACTAACTTCCAGAAAGGCTAATCAATTCTGCTTCTTAGAGCAGACAGTGAGAAAACAACTTATCCTGACATACTGTAATCCAGAGCTGAGGAGCATTTTGGGATTTGGTACCAATATGACAGCGAGCACTACCAGGACAAGACACTAAGTGTGTTAGCCTTCACTGGGTCATCATGGTAGCCACTGAACCAGAAAAGCCACAGATCAACACATATGCCAAGGGACTGCCTAGAAAGGGCCACTCAATCTCCCACAGCACCAGTGGAAAGCACAGAGCAAAGGTGCTACGGCTCACAGCCCCTGGAACAGCTCCTGTCCCTGGACAGAGCTATTCTAGCTTTTAAGTTTGAAAAGTGGTCCTGAATCCATGAAGAAACTGTGAGACCTCAAATGCATTACCACGAAACAAGGAAAACAATGTAATTCCTCTGAAGAAATATAACAAGGAATAAAATAATAGACGTCAGCCAAAACACAAATTTCCAGCACCACTTGTTCACTGTTGTAAAATGTATATAACATAAAATTTACCATTTAACCATTTGTAAGTTGCTGCTCAGTGACCACACATACATTCAGATACATCCATCACCACCACCACCAGCATCAACCTTTTCACCATACAATTCCCAATTCCAGTCTGCCCTGGATATGCCAACCGTCATTACTCTTCTCTAGGCACCACATGTCAGTGGAATCATAAGACATTTGTCCTTTTGTGTCTGGCTTATTTCACTTAACACAATGCTTTCAAGGCTCATAGATGAATCTCATTACATATGTCAAAGTCTCACTGCTTTTGATGATTGAATACCATTTGATATGACTTTCCTACATTTTCCTCATCTATTGTCTGCAGACATTTAGCTTGTTTCTAGTTTTGGCTGCTATAATGAGCACAGTGTATTTTTTTTTCCAAATTAAAAAATTACCAGTCTTTTTAGCCCTTTATCTTCTATACTTACTAACACTCATTTTCCAACATTAAAAGAAATATACTTAGCCCAAGAAGTCAGCAGAAAGAGTATGAATTTTTATTTCCCATCCCAAGAACAGTGCAAGGGTTAACTACAGAAAGCCATTCCAGGTGGCAGCTGACAGGCACACACATCTAAAACATCCCACTTATTTCAAGGAGCATGGCTGCCCCTTCCTGCCTGACATATGAACAGGTCTTCAGTGGAGAGTTCAGATTCTCCTGTCAAAACAATCCATCTGTCAGCAGGACACACACTTTCAAAAGTATTTCTGTACCTTTCGGTAGCAAAGAACTTGCAAGGAAAGAAACCTTTGGGAATTTAGTCCTGCCAACTGCAGCTTTCACTGGGCATCATCAACCACTGTCACAACAGCAATTGCCCTGTTCTTGCACAAAGAACATGCAGATCTTTGAACAATTGAACCCAGCCATAGATACTTTTTCAGCTAATCTGCTGAAAGATGGCCGTGAGGCCCACCGTTTGCAGAACACACAAGAGGTAGGGCTGCAGAGAACAGCTCAAGTTTTATTCAGGCGTGTCTGAAAAGCACACTGTTTAACGGGGCACGACAACCCTGTGCTCGCTAAGTATGTTTCTCAACAAGCTCCCCTCTCTTAGCCAGAGAATTTCAATAGCTGAGAAATTGCTACCACCATGTACACCTGGACTAATCATGTGGCCTTGTATTGAAACCACTTAATACAT